GAAAGAAAAAAGGAAATTAACTATCTGAAAGATTGACTGGCACACAAGAAACAGAAAAAGTTGCTATGTAAAATTCTGTAATTTTGATATTTTTCTTGACTACATACTATATCAAAGTACATGTGCCAGAAGTTGAAGACTATATACACATGAACATGACATAATGGTGTTGATGTTATAAGATACCATCAGATATCTTATTACTCAAAAAGTAAAAGTGGATCCGGTAATAAAAATATTAGCTCTTTGCGCAGCCAAGTGGGAACGATCGAACCTTCATTCTTCCATCCAATGCAAGTGCCAGAAGATCAAACTCTTCTACATACCATAGCTCTGATACTATTGCCTATACCAATACAAAAGATCTATCAATTCTTGTGTACGCATCTATGGTAAAGCTTCTGTTATTATGAGCTTTTTACCTTGAATCCTCGGATTTGGTTGTTTAGTTTTGTGACCAATTCGTGAAGAACTTGGAGATAGTCGCCAGAACCAGCCTGCTACATATAAGCAACAATCACTAACTTAGAGAGATTGTGTAACATTTGGATTCTGAGATTCTAAACAAGAAGGAAACAAAACAGAAACTTGCCTCAGTTGGAGATATAGGAGGACCAAGCAGCCTTGCTAATGATGTATGAAGAATTGCCGCATCGTACTGAAACACAAACCAACACAAGTATCAGACCAGTGGTTCGTGTCCATGAGAGATGAATGTGTATATAGATGTGTTACAAGTTGCTTCTCTGGTGCACGTGGAAGCACGGATCTTAGTTTTGTACGGATAGTTATGGGATCATCTCCAGAATTAACCTGGTGAAAAGATGAAACATGATATAAAGCAGTTGTTGTTACAGGAAAATGAAGTCATGGAGAATGAAATTACCTTCCAGCATCCAAGAAGAACACCTGTGGAGGTTAAGAGAACTCTATCCAACACAATCTCCAAAGGGCAGAGCTTGTTAGCAACTGTTTTAACAGCAGCTGCTTCTGCTTCAACCTGACCACATCAAAGACAATCTCAGAGACTAGGATCTTGAAAAAAAATTCCGGTGGATTGGCTAGAAGATCAATGAACTAGCGAAAAAAAACCTCATCTTCGGTAGCTGGAACAGAGACAATGTGATGCGATGCATGAAACATGCTGAAGTGGTAAATGTTAGAGTCCTGAAACCAGATGGCTAATAAACAAAAGACAGTTTCATATATCTGATAATTAGTTTTCCACAACAGTGTGTTGAAAAGAAAAATAGCGGCAGGCTTACTGTTTTCGAAGTAAGGGCTGAACACATTCTTCACGGCTTTCCTGTAATACATATACACATAAGGAGACCTTTCAGCAGCAAAAGATTTGGATTGAGGATGAGGCAAAGATACACACTCACGAGACAGGGACAGAGTATTCTGTGCTGAGATGTAACACATTAGCTCGCACAGGGGGATTTGCAACCTATACACAAGTAAACTAAAACATTTTATAGAAATCAACCTATACGGTACATTTAGCTATACCGAGCTGCATATACATTTTAATAAGGGTTAAGGTAAAGATGTTATATTCTACCTTCAGGATAGGTGATATAACTCCATCCTTGAGAGTGAAGAGATCTGAAAGTGACAATGACTGAGATGTCTCGCCTTGTTTAAGGAACTTGGGACCATTTTCCTGTAAATCCCGTTGCATCTTATCATACAACCTCGTGCTTCGTTCCGCATAGGTAGCAATAGGATCTGAAACATTTTACAGCATAAATGATTATCGCCATGAATATCTAGCAACAAAGATAAACGACTTTCCAAGTTCCAACTAATTATCTACTTGAGATAGATTAACAAAACACATAACAAAGGTACCAGATCCTAAAAGACAAGCATTGGTAGCACATATAAACGACGTTCAAACTATTATCTACTTGAGAGAAATTAACAAAACACATAACACAGGTACTAGATCCTAAAAATCAAGCATTGGTCTAAGAACAGATATTCACTCTGACACGTTCTGTATTCAAATCATACACTTAGTTTCAGTAAACAAGAAACATGTTAAGTGTTGGGATAAAGAGATAAAAGAATGGTGATTATAAGTACCCATTTGATCTCTAAACATAAAAGTCCAGTTCAAAGAAACAGAGACAATGCTTTGTATTATAAATTAATATAAAATACAAAACTAGATCTTTACGTATGGTTCTGGTGAATTGCTTCTGTTAGCAAGTTAACATCCATCTTCCATTTAAGACAATGTATAAACTAAAAAAAACAATGCAACTCATCTGGTTAGAGAAAGAGTTTAACTAACTAACTAACTAACTAATCAGATCGTGTAATTAAAAGAAAAATCAAAACATCATCACAGAAATTTGGTAATATAAAGAAGGTATTTAATTTCGAATATAAACGACATTTTACAAAATTAAAGACATTGATTTTTACTTGATGATGATTGTGAAGTTGATGGTGAGTTCCGAAGGCCCATTTGGAAGAGAGAGTAGAAGACAGTGAGAGAGATTGTCCAGAATAACACAACGGTTCTCCAGTGCTGTGACCTAATTGAAGACGTCGTCGCTGTCCCCATTTCTACTTTTGTTCATATCTTCTCATTCATCTCCCAGAAACTCCATTTTTCTATTTTCAGACACTCGGCATTATTATCATTAACAGGCCTGGGTGGGCTTTTTCCTCAATTTAACGTTTTTATTTTGAAGTCCACTATAGTTTATACAAAAAAAATGTTTTTTTTCTTCTCTAAATTGCAATTCAAGAGCTGTCCATGCGAATAAGTAACATATAATTTGTGTAAGAGATGTTGGCAGGAGGTCGAAACTGAGAAACATCTTCTATTTGACTGTATGTATGCCCAACGTATTTGGAGGGAGTCAGGTATTGGTAACTCTATCATCTGTGATCCACATGCCACCTTAGATGAAAAGATTGAAGCGTGTTTGCAGTGTTGCACATCAACAAGACTCTCACATTTACAAAATTTAGCTTTCTGGATTCTCTGGAGACTTTGGAAGAGCCGTAATCTTCTTATTTTCCAACGTAAGAGTATTCATTGGAGATTACTATTGATGCAAGCAAGGAAAGATGCTCAGGAATGGATGAATTACAATGATACTGAGAATACTAGAACGGAGAGGAGAGAATTCAGTGAGAGAAATGGGAGAAGACAACAGGATCAGAATTCTTGGAAAAGACCAGTTCGAAGATGGATTAAGTGTAATGTCGACGGTTCTTTTGTTCAATCAAACATGCCGAGCAAAGCAGGATGGATATTACGAGATACAGAGGGGTTCTATCTGGGAGCAAGACAAAGTATTGGAAGAAATGTTTCAAATCCTCTAGAATGCGAGTTACAAAGTATTCTTATTGCTATACAACATTGTTGGAGTCCTGGATATAGAAAAGTGGTCATTGAAAGCGATTGCAAGAAATCCATTGATTTACTTAACAGAAAATGACTCAACTTTGGGAGCTATAATTGGATCAGAGAAGCGTTGTGGTGGAAATAGAGATTTGAAGATTTGGAATTTAAATGGGTTAACAGAGCAAGTAATGGTGTGGCGGACAAGTTAGCAAAAGCTGATAATCCTAATAACAGTTTGTTTTATTTTCATCATTATGTACCAAGCTTAATTTCTATGCTTTTGCATGATGACTTTGTAATCTCTTCATGAAGTAATATAGTAGCCGTTAAAAAAAAAGTAACATATAATACATACATTGTTCATCCAAACCCAGCTACAGATCAACATAAGTACAAGCTTTGTTTATCAAAACTGTAAACTTGAATCCATCAACTTACCCAGGAAACAGAACACCAGTAAAGGATGAGAGTTGCTTCAGGCAGGAATCAACACGACCAGCAAATCAAATTACAACTAGAGAAAATATCTACAAGATCATCACTGTTATAAGAAAAGGAATAACATGTGGAAAAAACAAAAAGAAGAAAGGAAAAAAAAAGGAAATGTTGACAGTGGGATTTGAACCCACGCCCTTTCGGACCAGAACCTTAATCTGGCGCCTTAGACCAACTCGGCCATATCAACTTGTTATTCAATGAAGACACAACACAATTCAGATTTAAATTTTCTCTCTCTTCTGTCTCCTTGAGTAGCCGTTGAAGGTCACACAGACTTCGACTTCCATCGATTGTAAATTGTTTTCTTCGTTCGAATCGATACAGAACCATATGCAATCATCTGCCTGTTCAATCTTTCTCCTCCAAATTTTTTCTTTATACGTTTCCGTAAATCTCTTTGCTATGTTCATTGAAGAGACCCCAATCCTTTCTTTAGAGTTGTTCTGCGACCATCTTATCTGTTACAGAGGTTGCATAATCATGGTATGCATGTGACCTCTTTCTTTTGTGAGAAGAAGGCCTTTAACTTGAGGTTTTAATTACAAAATAGTGATATTAGAAAAAAAAAAACCCCGGATGTAAAAGGAAAACCAGAACTTAACCGGTTTTGAGTTCTGTCTATTTTTTTTTAAAGTCTCACATCGGAAGAAACAAGTTTTTAGTTGATGTATATATAAGTTTAGTTGACAATGAGTTGATGTCGAACTTAGTAACGCAAGTTTGTGATCCGAGTGGAGACAAATAAGGTGATGGGACGGTTGTCTCGATCGGCCCCCGGTTTGGTAACGTTCTGCTGGAGTTCGGCCTGTTACGCAGTCCGTTAGTCTCCAAGAGCGGCATGAATATTCGACCAATGGATATTCCTCAACTATCGGAGCGGGTAAGCCGGTTCCCAAGTGGACCATCACTTTTTGCTCTAGTCATAAAATGTCAGAGAGATCCTATGAGAGCGTTAGAGATGTTCCCAAGCACACTTTTTATGAGTTATTATTAGTTGGTTAAAATCTCTGTGAAGTAGATCTATAGTGATGGAGAACGTTTTATTTAGTTTCATTCTCATAACATTAAACGGATGTCTCAGGCAATTATTCTCTTACTTTCAAACGGTAATCTAACTCTTATTCTTAATCTATTATCCTCTGGGAGATGCTGCTGCTCTTGACTGTATTTCTTGATTGCGTTCCTTGAGAAAGGTCACCAACCTATCACGTGGCATTTCGACTTCTTTGATCACAGTCAGCTCTTGAAGCCGCTCTATCCAGTTGTATAAAGTCGGTGTGTTCACTGGATCAATGGTCTCTACACCGGTCGCTTCATGAAAAATTTTGTGGACTCCAAAAGTAGCGATGATGATGATGTCCAAAAGCCCTACATCATCATTCCCTCTGATGATTTTATTGGGGAAGTGTTTCTTTAGTCCCTCTTCAAGAACTTTGAATCTCTCTCTAGCCTCCTCCACAGCTTCACCCTTTTGGAATATTACTCGACCCATGACCTCAAACACCTGCAACAAGTAGTAACTGTTAGTTATTTCCTATAATAACCATATCAGTGTATAGGTGATGAGAGATCAAGGGGAAGAATCACCTGCTGGTTGATGTAGCTGACCCAGAATCGAACCTGAGCCCTTTCATAAGGATCCTCTGGGTAGAAACGAGGAGAGTTCGTCCAGGTTTCGTCGATATAGTCAAGAATCACTTATGACTCAGCCACTGGTTTACCATCATGGACAAGAAGAGGAATCTTCTTGTGAACAGGGTTGAGTTGAATCAGGGACTCTGTCTTGTTCTTTAGATCTTCTTCAACGTACTCGTAGGGTATACCCTTGAGTTTAAGGGCGATCTCAACTCTCTTTGAGTATGTGCTTGCCCACATCCCATGTAATATCACTTTGCCCTTGTGTTCCTCCATTCTCTTTGCCCTTCTTGTGGATTATGATTTTGTGCTTCCTTTGTGAAACTCTTTATATAGAGCTTTGAGGACGAGGGTGTCTACTTTGGACATTGTGGGCTTGTTCATCAAGCATATTGTGGCTTTATTTTATTGTTTAAGTCAAAGTTTTGACTTGAAAGATTTCCAATGGATAGGACCTTAAGGATTTGTTTATTTCATAGTTATCACCTTATCTTCAAGATTGAGTAAAATCTAAAATATTATTTGAAAACTGAATTTGCTTATATGTCATGTTATCCATGATTTTAATTATTTATTTTAAAAAAATTAGATTAATAATATTAGTTATATGTTGTATTAACTAATTGGTTATAAATTAATATGATAATTTGTCAAATAAACGCATATTTAAAAAATAATATAATTCTTATACATATTTTATCGTTATCAGAAAACAATATTTTCTATTAAAAGATTAAGATATACAACAATTTATAATTAAATTCTTTGTGTGTGTCATATTCTCCATGATTTTAGTAATTTCTGCTTTTTATATAATAAGATAGCAAAGTGTATATTAATTATATTATATTTTGGGTTATATTAGTTAATTAATTATATATTAATATGATAAAATTGTCAAAATAAAAATATATCCTTTTTAAAAAAAAAATTCTTATATATATTTTGGTGTTACTCAAAATAATATTTTCTATTATAAAAGATGATATTAAAAATTTACAATTAAATTATGTTTATATGTCATGTTCTCCATAACATTAATATTTTTCTCATTATATAGTTAAAACTATTTTATATTAATAATATTAGATTATATGATATATTTGCTAATTGATTATAAATTAATATGATCAAAATAAAATGAGAGTTGTATTCTCATTTTAGGTTTTCTAAGATCTTAATATTTTTTATATATAGCCGTATAGGTTTAATTATTATATTCATTTCATGATTTAATTAATAAAATTGAGAAGTTTTCTTTTATTCATTGTTTTCGGTAGAACATTAGTATTCTCAACGAATTTAAGAATACATCGATATTAGACAATCTTAAACTAAATAAGATTTTCGGATATTAATTTCCACTACATCATTCGGAATACTAAAATGAAATAAAAAATGTGCATAACAACAAAGTGTATTCAGTAACAATAGAGCATGGAGATTTCACAAACGTTTTATTTAGTTTCACTCTCATACAATAGTAGCTGCCATAAATCCTAAATGGAGGACCAAAACAAGCCAGAAGTGTTTTATCATTTCTTGTTATCTCTTTTCAATGCATTAACATAGTTCTAGACCAAAACATCATTTTTAAAAAGATCCTCTTACATAACTAACAGATGCAAGTTCATAACTAAAAGAACAATAGAGATTCAAGTTCTTACAACATCAAGTCCATACACGAGATTCAACTAAGAAACAGATCCGAAACCAATTGATCAAAGACACATTCTTCATATTTATGTTAGTTACTATCCTTTTTTATATTGTAATCATTATTTAATTACAATTTCAACAACATTATATCAATTCATATCACCTATTTTATGTCAATTATTTATACCTAGATCGAAAACTTGTATCTTACTACTAGTATTACTGTGGTGTTCTAATCCGTATTTCATGTTTGGTAGTGTTTGTTTAGATTGTTCATATTTAAACTTTTTTGAAACTAGCATAGCATGTATAACATCTAATTTTATAATTGTCTGTCAAAGTTATTCGATTGATAACACTAGAAAGAAATAAATTAAATGTTATGATAGAAAAAACCATAACAAGTTTATCATTTTATACTTACTGAATGTTAGTATAGTTGTGACTTGAAGACAACTGAAAAAGGTTTTAAAGAAGTATGACATGTGGAATTAATTGTCACTGACTAATTTACTTAGCTTGGCAGTTTTGATCTACTTTTGGCAATTCGTACAAAGTTTGTGCATTTTTTTTACAGAATTCTCCTTTATTGTCATACAAGAACGGCAAATACAACAATTGTAGTTAGCAGTTCCGAATTCATTTCAATTTATGGTAGGAGAAGTGTTTAGAGGAGCTAGATAGGGATTAGAAACAATAAAACTACGAGGAGAAATTCATGTTATATATTATTTATTTTTTATCTAATTTTATGTATTTTATGTTATATGTATTCTAGTGAGCAGACCGAGGTTATTGACTTTCTCTTATCTGATCATTCATCTTTAATTTATGGTTTGTCATGATTATTATGAGTTGCACTTACACGTCAAAAACTCTCGAGCAGAAAGCTTATTAACTTTCTCTCTCTGTTCACGTCTGCTCGAGAAACAATAGAAATAATTGTTTTGGAGGTAGTGAGCCGTAGAACAGTTTAGTTCTTGGAGTGGAGGCATGTAATGAGCCGTCAAATCGTCGTTATTATACTTATGTGAGTGACGAGGGAAGGAGAGCTAAATTTTTAAAGAATAGTTATCACGCATACATACTTATGTGAGTGACGAATCATTATCACACATACATACAAACTTATGTTTTTTGGTTTTTTTGGTTCGGTTATATATAAAGAAAAGTTAAAATCAGAATAATATTTTTGATTTGCTACCATATATTTCGCTAATGTACTGAATTTAAAAATATTATTTTACTATGTTTGCACATGCTCGATTTAAAATTATTAGTTATATGTTATATTAACTAATTGGTTATAAATTAATATGATAAATTGTCAAATAAAAACATATTTAAAAGATTAAGATATACAACAATTTATAACTAAATTCTTTGTGTGTGTCATATTCTCTATGATTTTAGGTATTTCTGCTTTTTATATAATTAATAGCAAATTGTATATTAATTATATTAGATTTTGGGTTATATTAGTTAATTAATTATATATTAATATGATAAAATTTTCAAAATAAAAATATATCCTTTTTAAAAAAATTTCCTATATATATTTTGGTGTTACTTAAAATAATATTTTCTATTATACAGATGATATTAAAAATTTACAATTAAATTATGTTTATATGTCATGTTCTCCATAACATTAAATATTTTCCTTATTATATAATTAAAACTATTTTATATTAATAATATTAGATGATATGATATATTAGCTAAATGATTATAAATTAATATGATCAAATAAAATAAGAGTTTTATTCTCATTTTAGGTTTTCTAAGATCTTAATATTTGTATATATAGCCGTTTAGGTTTAAGAATTATATTCAGTTCATGATTTAATTAATAAAATTGAAAATTGTTCTTTTATTCATTGTTTTTGGTAGAACATTAGTATTTTCAACGAATTTAAGAATACATTGATATTAGACAATCTTAAACTACATAAGATTTTGGTATATTGGTTTCCACTACATCATTCGGTATTAACTAAAATGGAAAAAATTGCGCATAACAACAAAGTGTATTCCGTAGCAATAGAGCATGGAGATACCACAAACATTTTATTTAGTTTCACTCTCATACAATAGTAGCTGCCACAAATCCATAGATGGATGCCTGAGGGAATTATTTTTTACTTAAACCTAGGGTCCTCTGAAACATTAAATCACTAGACCAACATATTGATCCCATTACGCATTTGTAGCCTGCTGGAGATGATCTTGTCTATACTTCTGGAGAAAGGTCACCAACCTATCATGTGGCACTTCGACTTCTTTGATCATAGGCAGCTGTTGCAGACGCTCTATCCAGTTGTATAAAGTCGGAGTGCTCGCTGGACCGATTATCTCTACACCTATTGCTTCATTAAAAACTTTGTGGACTCCAAAACAAGCGATGATAATGATGTCCAAAAGCCCTACATCATCATTCCCCTTGATGATTTTATTGGGGAAGTGTTTCTTGAGTCCCTCTTCAAGAACGTTGAACCTCTCTCTAGCCTCTTCCACAGACCTTGTTGCAGCTTCACCCTTTTGGTACAGTACTCGAGCCATAATATCAAACACCTGCCACAAGAGATAAGTTATTTCCTACAACAACCATATCAGTATATATGATTGATTATGTAATGAGACATCAAGGGGAAGCACCTGTTGGTTGATGTAGCTGACCCAGAATCGAACTTGGGTCCTTTCATAAGGATCCTCTGGGTAGAAACGAGGAGAGTTCTTCCACGTTTCATCGATATAGTCAAGAATTACTTGTGACTCAGCCAATGGTTTACCATCATGGACAAGAAGAGGAATCTTCTTGTGAACAGGGTTGAGCTGAATGAGCGTCTCCGTCTTGTTCTTTAGATCTTCTTCAACGTACTCGTAGGATATACCCTTGAGTTTAAGGGCGATCTCAACCCTCTTTGAGTATGTGCTTGCCCACATCCCATGTAATATCACTTTGCTCTTCTTTTCCTCCATTCTCTCTCTTTCTCAAATCTTCTTGGGGTGATAATTTTTGCTTCCTTTGTCAAAACTCTTTATATAGAGAGATTAAGGACAATAGTGTCTACTTTGGACTTTGTTGTCTTGTTCATCAAGCAAATTGTGGCTTTATTTTATGTTTCGTTCAAAGTTTTGACTGAGAAATTTCCTCTGGATAGGACCTTAAGGATTTGTATATTTCATAGTTATCACTTTATCTTCAGGATTGATGAAACTCAATCTTGGACTGTACTGCCGCCCAAGAAAATGAAACTCATAAACAACTTTTGGACCAAAACAACAAAATTGCACATTGTATCTTTGAAATGCATCACCAAATCTTGAAAGTCAGATAGAACTCCACCCTGGTTCCTTCTCTACACCTTTTCCTTTCATCAGCTTCCGAGTTTCCTCCACTTCTTCCCATTCACCAACATCTGCAAGGATATTCGAGAGTGAAACATACGCTCCAGCGTCTGATGGCTCAAGCTCTATAGCCTTTTTGGCAGCTAGCTTCCCGAGTTCAACATCCTCGTGAAGTCTGCAAGCAGCAAGCAATGTTCCCCAGACCAAAGCGTCTGCTTTAATAGGCATACTATTGATAAAACTCTCAGCTTCTCTAAGTCTTCCTGACCTCCCCAAAGCATCAACCATGCAGGCATAATGGCGGTTCTCAGGTTCAATACCGTAGTCTTTTACCATTGAGTTCAGATGCATATAGGCTTCTTCGACCAAACCACCATGACTACAAGCGGACAAGACTCCTACAAAAGTCACTTTATCAGGCTTGATTCCTTTTTCCTTCATAAGATTGAACACTTGTAACGCTTCAGTGCCCTTTCCATGTTGCGCAAAGCTTGCAATCAGCGAAGTCCATGCGATTAAATCCGGGCCACTGATCTGGTTGAATGCTTTACAGCAATCCTCAATGCTTCCAAATTTAGAATACATTGTCAGTAGTGAACTCCCAACAGAAGGCTCTGTGCACAATCCAGTTTTTGTGATGTAGGCATGAACTTGAGCTCCTAGAGATGATGCGTCTGAGAGAGCAGCGGCTTTAAGAATGGATGAAACTGCAAAGGAGTCCATTGTAAAACCAGACATGACCATATCACGAAATAGAAAGAAGCCATCCTGGATTAAACCATGCTGTGAATATCCTGAGATTAACGACGAGCATGAAACTGGATCCATTTCAGGGAGCCTATCATAGACCTGTCTAGCCAACTTTAGTGAGCCACATTTTGAATACGTGTTTACTAGTGAAGAACCAAGAGGCATCCCTTTGTCAATACCAGCTCTTAAAGCGTACCCATGTATTTCTTTACTCCTTGGCAGAGAAGGAAGAGAAGCACACACAGTTAGAACAGCAGCTAGAGTACTCTCATCAGGACTAGTCCCATCAGACAACATCTCGCTGAATAGTCCAACAGCTTCCCTTAGATAACCGTACTCACTGTAACCAGAAATCATAGAAGCCCAGCAAGCATTGTCTTTAAAAGGTATCTCCTGGAATAAACGAAAAGATTCTTCCAAGCTACCAGACTTGGAGTACATTGTGAAAAGAGAACTTCCAACAGTGAGATCAAGGACCAACCCATTTTTAAGAATGTGACTATGAATCTGCTTACCTAAAGTCAGACTATCTAATACACTTAACAAACTGCATACACTGTACTCATCAGGTTTCAAACCCTCCTGAAGCATTCTAGTAAACAGTCTTATTGCTTTACCAGGCTTCTTATTCTGCGAAAATGAAGAGACCATTACGTTTACAACATTTTCCCTCTGAGCATCCTTCAGATTCTTGAAAACCCGTTCAGAGAAATGAATATCTCCTCTCTTCGAGTACATACTAATCAAGGAGGAAGACACTGAAGAATCAAGATGGAATTCACTCTTTAAGACCCAAGCATGGACCTGGCTTGCTTCAGAGGCCATACAAGGTCTTCCACAAGCAGAAACTACACTGGTCACAGTACAGCTGCTAATCTCAACACCTGAACGTCTCATTTCCTTGAATATTTCAAGAGCGGAGATAGCATCATTACTCTTTGTGAAACCAGACAGCATAACTGTCCAAGAGACAACACTAGGGTTAGGGATACGAGAGAATACTTCCCTAGCTTCAGTCATATACCCACACTTGGCATACAAGTCAACAATCGCAGTGTTTACAAACACATCTTCTGCTCCGCACTTAATCACCCGAGCTTGAACCACTTTCCCAAACCTAAGCTTCTCAAGGGAAGCACACGCAGCCAAAACAGTGGAATATGTATGACTATCAGGTTTCTGAAACCCACCACACATCTCATAAAAAAGATCAAAAACAGAACCATAATCTTGATTCCTCAATGCTCCTGCTATCATAGCATTCCAACAATAAACATTAGGAGATAAAGTCTCACTGAACACCTTAAAAGCATCCCTAAACCTAAAACTCTTCGAGAACGAGTCAATTAAAGCCGATTGAACAACTTCATTCACGAAAAAACCCATCTTTATAGCATGACAAAAGACAAGCTCGCTCAACAGAGGAGCCTGTAACGCAGTACAAGCAGAGATCACAGACCCATAACTTATCTCATTGGCTTCAAACCCCAACAAATGCATCTTAGAGAAGAACCTCCATGACTCTCCAAAAAGTTTACTCTGTCTATAACCAGAGATCATAATATTACAAGAAACAACATCTGGTTGAGGAATTGTGTCGAACAACTTAGCTGCGTCAGACATGGAGCCCGACTTCGAGTACCAACTAAGCAATGATTTCGTAAGGAAAGCATCGAACGGTAAGAGGTAACGTCTGAGCAAGTGTCCTTGTAGGATTCTGGTTGTTTGGAGTGTACAAAGGTTTGAGCTTGTTTGATCATTGAAGAAGTGGAAAGGGTTAAAAGGAGGTGAAAAGGTAGAGTCTTTGGGAGAAAGGAGAGATGGGTTTCGGAGATTGGAGACGGAAGATAGAAGTCTGTAAACAGAGGGGGGAGAAAAAGGTGAGATTTTTAAAAGGTTTAAGCTTTCGTTCGCTAGACAATTCATTATCAGTTCATTGAGAGTTTAAACAAAAAGGTGTAAGAGAAGAAGCAAGACAAGGTGAATGACATTGGGCAAAGTACACATGAATCTAAAATAAAATATCTTGATGACATGATGGAATATCGTGTGGTGTTTTAGAGACAAAAAGTCTAGATGCCCGAGTTGGTCTAAAGGCGCCAGTTTCAGGTACTGGTCCGAAAGGGCATGGGTTCCATGACCATTATTGAAAAAAATTTCGATCTTTTTTAATTTTCTTTAGCAGTAACACACATCTCTCTAATCAACTATTTATAACATATGCGATATTGATGAACAGTTTTACGGATAATAATTGTACGATTAAGTTTTCCTCGAAACATTTTGATGTTACATATACTCCATCCGTTCCTTAAAGATACATATTCTAGAAAAAAAAATTGTTTCTAAAAGATTCATTTTTTACATTTTTAATGCATGTTTTATTAAATAATTGTAAACTTCAAAAAAATTAATTGCACTAATTGATTTTTGATTGTTTTAAAATTATGGAAAGAAAATAAACACAAAAAACTATGTAAATTTATTGTGTTTTATTAAAAAGTGTAAAAAAACTAGAATATAAATCTTTTAGGAACAGATGGAGTATTATATTTCTGATGGACAAGTTCTCTCCAGAGCAAATGACCACAACAAAAAGTTTTGTCTACAGTATTCTAAAACTTCTGAAAAACTTGTTTCATATAATTTGTTATAATTTAAAATTGAACTCTAAATCTAAGTGTAAAACTTTTGAAACTTTAACCAATTGGATAAGATGTTTCCACCTTATGCGATAGAATTAATGTGCCCAAAAACGGTGGATTGGCTTAGTTAACTTTTGACAGAGAATCATTTTTATAAAATATAAACAATTTGCTAGTTTTTATTTTATTTTTGGAACTGGCTTTCACAATTTAATAATTTTATCAAGATATTTATTAATCCACATTTTATTTGTTGTAGAAAAGTACAACTTGGACTTGATCAACTCGCATCGTATCTATTGAAAAAGAACAAATATTTATCCAAATATTTTATTTTATTTATTTACAAAGTTACTAATGAAACTATATAATAAAATTAAAACCATCATCACATACCTCCTTGTTTTTAAAGTCAACAACAAAGAGGTCACCATGGATTCTACTCGCTTTGAGCACAAACTCTCTTTTTGTCTGGACGGCTTCAATCCGTCTAGAGCCCAGCTAACGTGTGGGGAAGTTATTCGCGCAAGAATTGATTTCGAAACAAACTCAACCTCAATCTCTCTTCCCGACCAAACCATCGGTCCTAACACCGACCCTATTCCCCTCTACACTCCAAACACAAACGCCCGCATGGTCCGTTTATCCAGCGGAGTCAAAACCACCGAACGCTCCTCTACGTCGAGTTACTCGCTAAACTGCATGGGAATCTTCAAACTCATGACGAAGCGCTTCGGTGCTAGCTACACCAACTACTCCAATCTCATGACCGATATCGAGTCAGATATCATGTCATCAACATCGAGAGGCGAAGCAGTGCGTCACGTCAAGATATTGAAGGTTAGAACTGAGGTTTCTAAACTCGACAAAGCTTCGGAGAAATTGGTGTTGGATATGATAGGCCATAATCCAAAGATCGGTGACCAGAATTGTTATGTATCCACTGGATGCGTGATTTGCATGGAGGATTATAAAGTAGGGTCAGTGGTGGGGAAGTGTCCTTGTGGTCATGACTTTCATGGAGTTTGTATCAACGAGTGGTATCATATCAAAAATGAGTGTCCCTTGTGTCGAAATCATCTCTCTCGTTCATCATCACCCTTTAGACTTTTACTTTGTTTATAGTTACGGTAAAAGAACAAAAATTCAGTTTCTTTAATGTATTCTCTCATTCATGGGTTCTAATTAGGGTTTATAAGTACATTATTCAATTAATGTTTTAGTTTATTTAATGTTTTCATGGTTTCTTATTAGGGTTGATGAGTTCATTAATAGAGTAGTCTTTTATATTGTAATTTTTTTATTGATTGAAATATGATTAGATAATTATGTTTTTATATAAAACATATAGAAAATTAATTATTTTTTAATCTATGTCTATAAAGATAAAATAATACTTAATATAAAATAGAGAGAATAATAAAATTAAAGGAGAAGAGAAATAAAGAATATGCAGAATTCTCTCCTGGAAGAGAGACTCTTCAATTATCTTAAGAAAATCTATCAAACAAGCTAACTGTCGTTACCATTCACATAATTCTACTTTATTTTAATTCTATTATTCAGAGGAGCCAAACAGGTTAACAAATTTGCGGAGGGGAGGGGCACTCCTGAGTAGGGCTGGGCATTTTATCCGTTATATTTGATTCGATTCGTTATTCGTTTCGATTCGATCCGAAAATTCTGGATATCCGTAAACTTTCAAATCAAAGCAAATACTAAAATTCAATATCCGTTAAAATCGAAGCAAATCACAAATATTAAAATTTTGGGAAACGGATATCCGATCCGATCCGATCCGGGAATATATAANAGTAGGGCTGGGCATTTTATCCGTTATATTTGATTCGATTCGTTATTCGTTTCGATTCGATCCGAAAATTCTGGATATCCGTAAACTTTCAAATCAAAGCAAATACTAAAATTCAATATCCGTTAAAATCGAAGCAAATCACAAATATTAAAATTTTGGGAAACGGATATCCGATCCGATCCGATCCGGGAATATATAAATATATGTATATCTTGATTATATTTAAAATTTTAAATGTATAAAATTATATAATTATTATTCTAGCACTTGATTTTGAAAAATTCTATTCACATTATTACTTATATAAAAGTATTACATAAAAGAGAAAAAAAATTTATGACAATTATATTTTTTCCCTTAAATTTTTTGTTATTATAATTGTAACTTAAACTTAAAAAAATTACAAAATATGTAATTCACTAGTTCTTTTAATTTTTATTTTATATATCATGCAAAAAAATATTTTTTCAAAACAAATTTGTATCAAAATCTTAAGATTATTTGTATTAATCAAAATGGATGAGATATCCGTAAATATTCGTAAATATCCGCAAATATCTATTTATTTTCCGGATATCCGTTTTTCCGGATATCCGTATTTTTTCGAAGCAAAGCAAATACCAAAATTAGATATTCGTAACCTTCGAAGCAAATCACAAATACCTTGAAAAACCCGGATATCCGATCCGTGCCCACCCCTACTCCTGAGTCCTGCCTCAGGAAAAGTATCCGTCTCTCGTTGCTCAGGTAAGAAACTGTTGCTTCTCCCAAGTGAATGTTGGATAAGATTAAGCTTACGCACTTGGTCAGGCTCCTTAACGTGAGTTCAGGCCCATATAGCGTTAAATCATTGCTTGCTGAACTCTACAAAACTTGTGTTTACTTGACAAAAAAAAACTGTTTACTACATTGCTTTTCTCAGTTTATAAAAAGAAATTTACATATACCGTTTACTTTATGTTTCGGTTAGCTGCGTATTTTTTTTTTCTTTTTTTTTTCCTGAATTTTACACTTATGCCGCGATCAAGAGAAGACGAGTGGCTAATAGTAGCCAGTGAAGAAAAATTTATTAAGAAAACCCAGCTTAAACAACAGTTCAGTTTAAATTCAAATCTTTAATATACTGCAAATTACTCTGAATGCTAACATAGTAAAGTCTAATCGAACGATAAAACACACCATTTAATAAATAACAGGTAACATAGCTGGTGAAAGAGAAAATGGTATTTTTGCCGATTCTTTGTGAAGAAAATCAGCTGAGAAATGTGGTCCACTATCCACCTTCTCATGAAATATGTACCTGGTTTTAAATAAAATAAAATTTGAACAACATTTATAGCAAATTTAAATTTCGCTTATACAAAAATATAATTACAAAAAAGTATATATATATATATATATAATTACACTTCTCATGTATATAGGATATATTTTCATTCATTCAGGACTTTGATATATATAAATTTCTTCCATACTTTAAATTTTCAATATAACTTTCTGCAATAATTCATTATATTATTGTTCAATATTTTCTTCGTTTTAATTTTTTTGTAGTTGCAGCTGAAATCTAAAAAAAGGTTACAAATAAACAAGAAAAAGAAGTATCCATCTCCTTTTATGGATTCTGACGATTGAAAGCAACACTTTAGTTTATACCACAGACAAAAGTTTGGTGAGTTGGGATCATTCCACGTGCCACGTAGATTAATCGCATGCCATGCATTTAGCCGACGTGGACTTCTTAGGCCTCTTTCCATGGTCCAATTTCTATTTAACTAGGTGTTTTGCCTGCATTTGCGGGCATAATTCTCTTATGAATATTTATTAGTTGATGTTTCATTAATTTCTTATTTACGTTTTCAAAAATTACAAATCAAACATCAAATAATTATAAATAACAAAACTCAAACATCGAAAATATTTAAAAGTATATTTTTATAATTATTTTTCTTGATTTATATTTAATTATAACATTTATGCAAATTTTTTTACATAATTTATATTTAATTATAACTTTTGTATCTTAATTTTTAATTTTATAATAGAAAACATATTTTCAAGATAACAATATAATGTATAAGTTATTTATTTTCTAAAAATATAACATGATAAATTCGATTTAATTATATAATAATTATATAATATAATAGAAATGATGACATATAATTAAAATTAATTAAAATAATGGAAAACTTAACAAATCACCAAATTCACTTCTTAAATGATTTTGCTTGAGTGATGATTTATATTTAATTTATAATAGATAATTTTTCAATTTTACTTTTAAATTATATAATATAAAAATATATTTTCAAGATGAGAACATAATACATAAGAATTACCTTATTTTCTAAAGTTATAATATTATTATTATTTTAATTATAGAATAACTATAACTTTTTATATCTTAATTTTAAATTTCTAATAGAAAAATATATTTTTAAGACAACAAAATAATACATAAGAAATATCTTATTTTCTAAAAATCTGATACTGTTAATAGTTTTTAAAACATATATGATAAATTATATATAAAATTATAGAAATTATGATAAATTATCAAAGTCATCTAAAATCATGAAAAATATGACAAATCAGCAAACATCAAATCCACTTCTTAAATAATAGTATAGATTTTTTACAAGTTAATTAAATTCTATAATAAAAAATATATTTTCAAAATAACAACATAATACATAAGAATTAGCTTATTTTTTAAAAAATATAGAATTAGTAATATAAATTAGTTTTAATTACATAATCAATAATAAACAAAATTAAATAAATTATGATAAATGATCAAAATTACCTAGGACCATGGAGAAGTTGACAAATCAACAAATTCACTTCTCAAATAAATGTTTTCATGATTTATATATAATTATTCTTAATATAATTTTTATATCTTAATTCTATGTTTTATATTAGTAAAATATATTTTCAACATAACAACATAATACATAAAAATTATCTTATTTTAGAAAAATATGAAATTATTAACATAAGTTCATTTTAGTTATATAATAAATATAATAATTTTTATATCTTAATTTAAAATTGAAGTTTTTTATATAAAAATAGTTCAAGATAACAACATAATTCACAAGAATTATCTTATTTTCTAAAAATATGGTATATTCATATAAATTCGTTTTATTTATAAATAAATACAAATATTAAAAATATGATAAATAAACAAAATTACCTAAACTTATGGAGAACATGACACCTCAGCAAAATTAATTCTTAAATAATAGTATAGATATATCCAAAACTCAATACACCCTTTTTACATATTTTACTTTAAGAAATAATATGGATGTAAGACATAATTTTTTCTTCTTTATCATGATACATAGTCTAATTTTATTGTAAATGATTCGATAATCTGATATATATATATATGACTATAATGAACAACTTTATAAATAATAACTTCTTTTTTTTTGGGTCAAACTATAAATAATAACTTCTACGATGCATTTCTTTTTGCAATACATAAATCCATAATGAATGGTTTTACCTATAAAATATGTTCACCATATATAACCTTTTGCACTAGTCGAGAGCACAGCAACAACTCTACCTACTACATTACTAAATTTTGTTTTAAACTTTATATCAGCTAATGTGTAACAAAGGTCGTTTTGCTTATTAGAAAACGTTTTGTAATTAACGAAACCGTAAATTTGAGATAGAAGCTTAAAAATATTTGACTATTAGACCAAGGTTTTTTAGTTAAACAAGATGAAAATATTTGACTATTAATCAACTAATATTTCTTTCCATGTATCTATTAAATTTGTAAGATCTTCAATTTTGAAAGTTCTGACGTGTTTTGTGTCAAAATTTTTATGTAGGTCAAATGATCACCAATTTGCTATCATTTTCTTATCTTTGCTAGAGTAAAACATTGTTCAGAATACGGTGTTAATATATGATTGTTTAACTGGTTGAATTTAAGGGTTTTTGTTTTAGTAACTTATTTATTTAATTTTGAGAAGCTCAAATAAGTATCTAAACAATTACGATGCTCTTATATATGGATATATGTATATATATATATATATATATATATGCGTTGACTAGGGCTTCATTCGCTGCTTGCTTATGTCGGTACAACCATATATATATGCCTTCGTCTGTGGTAGACGCCACTAAACTTTATTCAGAAAAAAAGAACAATACGTTGTTGAACCTTGATCGATAATACGTATGTCATGTTTAATTTTGATCAACAACATGCATTGTATTAGCAAACCCTTTCTTAATTAAAAAAACATGTATTATATAGGTTCGACTTCGAATCAAA